GCAGAGAGAGAGAGGGGGAAGCAGGCTCCCTGCTGAGCAGAGAGCCCGATGCAGGGCTCCATCCCAGGACCCTGGGATCATGACCTAAGCTGAAGACAGAGGCCTCAACCCACTGAGCCACCCAGGCACCCCTAAAAAATATGCTATATACTACTTTTAGAAGCAAAGGATGTTCTAGAATCAAATAATCTTCAGAAAGTTAGGAACTCTTTTGTGCACTTTTAATTTTGTGCTACATACATTTACCACCTTTTCACAAATAAAATAAGGGTAGGTATCATGACTTTGAGCATTAGCTTGTTGAATGGTCCTAGAAATCCTCCTAACCAACTTGAGTCTAGGTCACCCTGAACTGAAGAAAACATGCAAACTCATCTCAAAAGACAGAATTCATTTATTCACTTAACAAATCTATATCTAAAGAGTAAGATGCACTTGGGAAATCAGAAATAGCTTAATATTCCAGATTTATCACTTATGAGCTGTGTTTTTCCAAGGGACTTATTTTCCCTCTTATTCTCAACTATAAAATGTACTTTATAGGGCTATTACCTGGATAAATTAATCAATACAAGTACAATCCTTAGAAAAGTACCTAGCATATGCAAAGTGCTCAGTAAGTAAGTTTTTTACTAGTGCCATGGCTGGGATACAGGGTGCAAGAGAGGGGGTAGAAGATGAAGCTGCAGAGAAATGTTTGTTTTGGATCAGGAAGAGGATAGGATGCCATACTAATGGGTTTGGAGCATAGTCTCTTTCCCTTTAACTTGTTCTTCTGAAATGTTTCAAGCACACAGAAATACTTAAAAGCATAGTACAATGGACACCTGTATGCCCCTCCACCTAATTTAACAGTTGTTAATATTTTGTTCCATTTACACTTGTGCATGCTCTTTCTTCCCCCACAAACAAGTGCGCACACACACATACAAGCACACACACGTACAGATATTTTCTTGAATAATCTGAAAAGAGATGGGAGGCAACATGACACTTTGCCACTAAGTGCTTCAGATGCATCTTCTAAGAATAAGGACATTATCCCACATCATCATCATCATACCTAAAAAACTAACAGTAATTCTTTTAAATTAGTATCTAGTCCATACTCAAGTTGGAATGATTTCTGATTTCAAAAACTGACATGATTGGATGACACTGGTGCGGGGTGGGTATGGGGGCTCATGAAGGAAGGACTCTAGCCATGCAAGACTAGTTAGGAGATTATTGTAATAATCCAGAAGAAGAGTGATGAAAACCAGAGCCAGGGTAATGACAAGGCAGAGGAGAGAGAGAGAACTGAGTATGTACCTATCTGCATGAATTATATATATAACTCAATGGCTTTATATGGTGAACCAGTGAGACATAAAAGATGACTTTTGTATTAGTGGGTTGGGTGACCAGGCAGATGGTAATACCTGAAATGGGTCAAACTGCAGAAGAGAAAGTGTTGGTTTGTGTATATTTGTAAGGGAGGTGGAGGGAGTGCCTTTTAATGGTGGACATGTTGAGTTAGGGACACCTATCAGGTGAGCTAAGTGGGAATGTCCAAAAGTATTTGGAAATAGACGTACAATATTCAGGACGGGGGTACATGTTAAGAAGACAGAGATACACATTTAGAGGAGGTTGAAAAACTTACTGAGCTAGTAAATAAACTCAGCAAGTTTGCAGGATACAAAATCAATATATATAAAAAACCTATTGTATGGCCATATACCAGTAATGAATAATCTGAAAAGGAAATTAAGAAAAACAGTTCTATTTACAATAGTATCAAAAACAAATTTAACAAAAGAAATGTAAGACTTAGATACCGAAAAGAGCCAAATACCACTGAAAGAAATTAAAGAATAAATAAATGGAAAGGCATGCCACTCTTTGCCTTCTATCTTATAAAAGACCTTGACCCAGGGGTGCCTGGGTGGCTCAGTCATTAAGCACCTGACTTTTGATTTTGGCTCAGGTGATGCATGATCTCAAGGTTGTGGGATCGAGCCTCGTTGGGCTCCAGGCTGAACGTGGAAACTGCTTAAGATTCTCTTTCTCCCTCTTCCTCTCCCACCCAGTCCCTGAAGACGAAGTGGAAGGAAGAAATGGGTTCTGTAGAGGAGTCAGAGGTGGTAGGACAAGGCCAAGATGGGAATGATGACTCAGAAGCTATGGGGAGAATTTAAAGAAGAAAAGGAGAACTTACTTAACAGGGCCAAATCTTAGAAATCTTGGGATATTGTCTGTGTGATTGTGTGTGTGTGTGTGTGTGTGTGTGTGTGTGTGTGTGTGTGGTGTGTGTGTGAGGGGGGGGAGGTTATTTTGAGCCCCTATCAAATGCCTGGCACCATGGTGAATGCTCACATAAGTCTCCTGATCTGACCCCACAAACTTCTGGTTAGGTATCATGTCTATTTCACATAAGCCAAGTAAACTAAGTACTAACAATTACTAGTTACGTTCTGGAAAAATGGGGGTCCCTGGTGATTTCAGTGAAAGCAGTTTTGGTAGGGTGATAGCAGTGGAAGCAAATTATGGTGGGGTTAGGGGGGTAAGGGAAGTGGAAGGTAAGTTTGTGAAGGAAGGAAAGAGATAAGATTATAATTAGAAAGAGTAGTGGAGGGACGCCTGGGTGGCTCAGTCAGTTAAACATCTGCCCTTCTGCTCAGGTCATGATTCCAGAGTCCTGGGATCAAGTCCCACATCGGCATCCATGCCCTCAGCCTTTGCCTCTCTGTCTCTCTACCTCTCATGAATAAATAAATAAAATCTTAAAAAAAAAAAAAGGATGTGGATACATCTTTTGTCATCTTTAAAGATAGAAGAGACTTTAGCAGCATTATAAGGAAAAGGGAAGGAGTGAATGAAGGGTAAGAGATCAAAGATGTAGGGTGTGTGTGTGTGTGTGTACATGCACACGCGATGGGTATCAACGCCAGAGGGAGCATCCCAAAGCATTAGGTAAGGGAGCCCTCTTGGCCAGAAAGGACAGTCCCTTTCAACGAAATGGGAGAAAAGTAAGTAAGGATCAGATGAATATAGACTGATGGGAGTGTAGAAGTCAATGGAGTTCTTACTTGAAAATGTTTATTTGTTTTTGCTTTTTTTTAAGATTTTTATTTATTTATTTGACAGAACAAGAGAGCACAAACAGGCAGAGCAGCAGAGGGAAAGGGAGAAGCAGGTTCCCCACTGAACAGGGAGCCCAATGTGGGGCTCCATCCCAGGACCCTGAGACCATGACCTGAGCCAAAGGCAGAGGCCCAACCCACCAGGCCCCACAAAACCTCCGTGATCTTCACCTCATTTGAAGAGTGGACTGCACCCCCTTGGAGAACTGACACAAGGATTAAAATAACTATGATTATAGGTGTATGTGTGTGTGAAAATGTAAAGTGCTGATTTTTTAGACTTTATTTTGTAGAGCAGTTTTAGGTTCTCAGCCAAAATTCAAAGGAAGGTACAGAGGGTTCCCATATCCTCCTTTCGCCTCTACATGCACAGCCTCCCCCACTATCAGCACACCCCCTAGAGGGGAGCACATTACAACTGATGACTCTGCGCCGACACCCCATTATCAGCCAGAGCCCATAGCTGACATTCGGGTTCGCTCTTGGTGTTATAGACATCCTACGGCTTTGAACAAATGTGTAATAACAGGTATTTACCATCATAGTATCATACAGGGTACTTTCACTGCCCTAAAAATCCTCTGTTCTCTGCTTACTCACCCTCCCCACACCACCCCACTCAGCAATCACTGATCCTTTTAGGGTCTCCATAGTTCGTCTTTTCTAATGTCATACAGTTAAAATCAGACAACACGTAGCCTTTTCTCATTGGCTTTTTCCACTTAGTAACGTACATTTGAGACTGCTCGCTATCTTTTCGCAACTTGCTAGCTCATTTCTTTTTAATGCTGAGTAATATTTCATCGACTGGCCATAGCACAGTTCCTTCCTCCAATCACCTACTGAAGGATATCTCTCGGCTGCTCCCAAGTTTTGGCGATGATGAAGGAAACCGCTATGGACATTCAGGTTTTTCTGAAGACATGAAATTTTAACTCCTCTGGGTAAATACCAAGGAGTGCGACTGCTGAATCAAATGGTAAGAATACCTCTAGTTTTTTTAAGAATAATGTGCTGTTTTAGTGATGGTTTGACAGCTCTTGGGCTTTGCCCTCAAGGTTCAAGAGAGGACCCATAGGGATGACAGGTCTGCTCTACTCTCCCTCATCCCCAGGATGGTGGGGTCATGCCCCTGGCCCCAGAGCATCACACTGAAGAGCATCAAAGGGCCCTCACCTTCTAAAAATCCGGAATATTTGTAGGCACAGATAAAAATCTCCAATAACCCCATTTCCGTTCTCCTTCGATCTGTGGCTGGATAGCTTACCTTTGGGTGTGGTTTCTGAGGCATTAAGGGCTCCCTGAATGACGGCCTGTGCTTCAGAGTTCTTCTTCTTCAGAAAGTCTATCGTTTCTCGTAAATCCAGCAGCTCAGTGTCCTAAGAGAGACATGACAATAGTGTCATTAGCTGGCACTGGGAGCACCAACTCTGTGCCAGGCAGTAGGCTAGGCACTGGAATTCTTCCAGATTCGATAGACAAGGCAGGGAATTCTCTGAGGGGAGGATTCAGGGTGATGGGAGGGAAGGGAGAAACCCGCGCTCAGGAGAGAGCAGGGGAGGCGAGCCCAGTCTGTGCGGGAGGAGAACTTCCAGCTCTCGTACCTTCTCCTCTGCTGTCTCCGCCAGGTGCCGGAGGCGGGATGTCATATTCACCAGGCTCTGCTCGAAAGCTGCCACTAGATTAGCCTGAAATAAACACGGAAGGAGGTTCCTAAGTTGCCTGACACTTCGGGAAAAGACTGTTATGGGAAGTAGTTTCGCTGGTTTTCTGTGTCTGGGCACTCACCAATGCCAACAACTCTCTTGGTGATTTTTGAATATTGATCTCCCTGACCAGAAAAGGTGGAATCAAACACCTTTCTGGCCTGAGATTTTCTGGCAGGGACCAACTTTGTGAATGAGGAAGTGGTACAGGCAGCATTAAGGCGGCGGGGGGGACGGGCAGGCTTCTGGAAGCTCTTGGACACTTGGGATCTGGCACCTATCATTACCAGAGGTGGCACTGTCCCTCTGCTCTTCAGGAGGGGCATAACCTCTGGGTCATTCCTATTGTCTTGATTTAACTCCTGCATTGTGTGGAGGGCTGGCCCCCAGGGGTCCAAATCACCTCCCACTAGAAACCATTTGGTGCTTCTTTCCACCTCTGCTCTCAAGCAGCCTCCATTCTCAACTCTATCCCGCTTCTCCCAGGTCCTTGTTTCTCACGGCTGCCTTTGCCAGGCTAGAGAGAAATAGCTTAGGAAAACTTCAGGGGCCTTCTAAGTTTGGCCACTAGAGGTCACGTGTGTTTCATGAGGAGGAGGCTGGCCAGGGAGGGTGGAGCTGAGGCCACTCGGAGCAGGGCTAGCCGGATAAGCTGTTCACCTGGCAGCAAGATGTATAGGAAAGGAGAAGGGAATGGGGCTAGAAAGGGGAACACGAGGGGCGGCAGAAACAGCCATTACTGGAGGGTATCTGGGCAAGTCAGTGGCCCTAGTGAGAAGTGACAGGCATATTTTGGGCAGATCTTTTATCCAGAGCTCGAGGATGTAGGTCTGTGACACTTGTCACTGCTTCCTGTGGGCCAGTGATTCTCTCTCCCTGTTGGGCCAACTCTAGTCTCAGCCTCTGCCTTTGCAACATACCTGGAGGCTACCTTCATTTGACAGTGGCTGGTGGCAACCCGTCTGGGTCACTATGAACTGCCTTGTCCACTTGCACGCGCTGCGAACCTGTCAAGGCCTGGGCTCTCCTCAGCAGACCTAGGTCATGACCCTGAGCCGCTGACTTTCACCTGCTGTACATGGAGCTCCTGTTTTCTTGGCCTCGGGGTGTCTCTTGTTCACGTCTCTATATCCCTGCCTAAATCAGCCCACTCAGAGTCCCTGAACATCTCCTCGTGAGGGATTCCAACAACAGTTGGCTTCCCTTCTCACTGGGGGCTCCCTCTGCTCCTGAAGGGCATTCCTCACTTCTGCTACCCATCCTCTCCCTCCTCTGAGCCTTCCCTAACCCTCAGCCTCACCAGAGGGCCTGCAGGACCTCAGGGCTGAGCAGCGGCGCCAGAGATAGGCTGGCACTTGGGAAAGGTGAAATGGCTTGCGGTCTCTCCCTGTCTGGGATGTGCCCTCCACTTGGGGAGCTGGGAAGTTTCACGGAACATGAAAAAAGCTCCGTCCGCAATCAGGGGATCCCAGAGAGTTCTGGCATCACGTCTCCTGCTTGAGGGCCAGGCTCCGACCCCCCAGCAGGATCTGCCTCTAAAATTCAGAACCCATCGTGTCCGGGTGTTTGGTTTGTTCTCTCTTAGCCAAAGGGAACTTCCTGTTCGAAGAAAAATCACCGTCTAAATTCATTTTCTTGGCTCTCGCCCAGCCTTGACAGCATGATGGCTGACAGATCCAGTGTCGGTGAATCAGACACACTAATGTTCTCTGCCTCCCTGGCGCCTCTCCCCTCTCTCCCACTGCATCTCCCAGATGTGAATTTCCTGGGGTGTGCAGGATGTGACCCAGGCCACCAGCCGTGGTGGGTGGGGCACAAGGGAGGGGAGAGAGAGTTCTTGCTTATGTTGTAACTTTTACGGGTCCCCAAGAGTGGAAGACGGTGCGTGACATGGGCTTCCAACAAACCAGTGAGTGTGCAGCTTATGAGTGGAGGGTTTGGGCAAAGAGAAATAGAGAGAATGGTCAGCGTGGCGGTGAGGGAAATGCTGTTGAAACAGAATGGAAACATGCGAAATCTTGGTGGAGAGCCTTCTACCTGATCCCAATGAAGACCCCTGGGCCTGACAGCTGGGTTCCCCGGAGAGGAAGGGACGAGAAAAAAAACCCAAAACTCCTGCGGAAACTGCGGACATGGTTACTTTTGTGTGCACACTTGGAAGGCTCCTGCAAATCCGGCTCAGCTGTTGTTTACAGCTTTGGGGGAAAATGGTTCTTATGTTCTCTGTTTGCAACTTGGTCACAGGGGAGAAACTACCACAGCCCAATGAGGGGAGGCGGCCTCATTTCCCCCATCTCACAGGGTCGGAAGACCAAGGCCCACAGAAAGAAAGAAACTCATTCTACTGGGATGGACCAAGGGCAGGCTGAGGGCAGAAACAAAGAATTCTGGCTCCCAACCCAAAGTTCAGGTAATTTCTGCCACCTGCCCAAGGAGACAGCTAAGCAAAGGCAGTTGTGAGTGAGGCAGCTGGACTGGAATGAGTGTGTCTTTCTAAGCTGTGTCATGCTTGCCAGGTAGAACGTTAATAGCTAGTTCTGTGCCTGTCCAGTTATGTGGCCTGAACAAAGACAGAAACATACCCCAGGGCAGCAGCAGACAGTTCTGACGGTTCTCTAATACGTGACTACTTGTGTCCATGGCCAATGGAAAGGTTGTTCCCACCTCCAAGCAGAACCACTGATAATCCTCGTCCCTTTCTCTAGGGAGTTCAAAGACCACGGGGCATGAACTCATCCACACCTATTAATTTGGGTGGGGGCAAAAGCATTTCTCTATAAATATCAAGACTCAGAGAAGGCCAATCCCCCATTCCGCTGTCATAAAGCTACAAACAGGACCCGCTCCCTTGGAATCTAAGCCCAGCGGATACCTTACGAGAGAATTCTCCTCCTCTGGCTGAACTTATCTGACTTAGGGCCAAAAAGTAACTGCCTAGGTCTTCCCCTACTTTATGGCACTCACATTGGCGGAAAGTTGAGACGTCAGGGTGGCCACTTTTTCCTGGGATGATTCCAGTTCCCTACGAAGCTTCCGGATTTGCTGCAGAGGGGAGAGAAATACAAACTTATGGCAGCAGCAAAAGTAGGAGATCTGAAAGCAGAATGGGGCGCAGTGGTGTTAACAAGCAGAGACAAAGGCTTCACACCCTACCTCGGATTGCATCCTCTCCTCAGCCTGAAGAAGGAGCACAGAAGGAGAGAAAGAGAGAAGGAGGTAGTTACTACGGAGGTGAGGAAGCCAGGCCCCAGTGGCAGGGCGGAGAACTTGAAGAAGCGTGACTCAGAGGTACAGAGAGGCCGAAACTCAGTGTCTTGGCCCTGGCCCCTCACAGGATGGGCTGAGACCCTATCTTTGGGTTCCAATAAAAGATTTCTCTGGAGCTCGTCTCCAGCCAACTTTGGCATTGCCAAGAAGGCTAGGAAATGAAACTCTGGTTGATCTGAAGACGAATCCTTACTGCCACTAACTTGAAAGAATAAAGAATTAGGGGCAAAACAAATCTGAGAACCAAGTTACACCTAATGGCCAAACACAGTGTGCCCAGTCCCCTGCAGGGAACACTTGGTAAATTCTGTATGCTGTTAGCATGATGGAGTCCTGTACACCTGAAAGTTCCCAGCCCGCCTTGCCCTGAATGCTTCCTACTTCCCCTGGCACAGAATGGGCTCTATCACAAGGGGACTATCACTTTTTCAAAGGAGGGGAACCAAAGACACCAGAGTTTGCTCAGGAATTGGTGGTGAGGCCAGAAAGACCACTGAGGAACTGATGCACTCAACCCAGTGCTCCAAGGTCTAGGCGCCTTCCCCTGTCCCCACCCCAGACCCACAAGGCCTGACAAACAGGTAGCAGTCCCCCTCCCCCACCCAGTTCCCCAACCAACCCAGGTTCTGGGGAGAAGGGCAACAGTATGTGAGAGGGGATGAGGGAGGAAGAGAAGTAGTGCTCTTACTGAGGAGTAAGTGGAGGAGGCGCTGGAGGCCAGGGACAGCACTGAGCCATGAACTGAAAGAGAAGCAGAACACAGAGTTAACAGAGGGTTCCAGGGACAAGGGGTTCCTGGGCAGAGCCCGAAGGCAGGAGTTTGGATTCAGATTCTGGAGGGCATCTGGAGCCAACAGGAAGAACACCACAGGGGGACCCAACTGGCATCATGACAGCCCCGAGCAGGCAGGTGTCTGCTGACGAGGCAAGGTCCTGAGCAGAGCTAGCCTCCTCCTTCAGTCTATATTCTCGGGCAGCCTGGGGATGGCGGGCCCTCGCTCAGCCTGCTCCTGCTCCGCGGGGCACGAGGGTTCAGGGAGAGGGAAAGGAGATGATCGTGGACAGGCATCATCTTCTCTTCCCAGGAAGGAAAGTACTTAAGCTGCGGAAGAGGGGAGTTTCTCATCAGAGCGGCTAGGAACAAATCCTGCCATTTGGCCTGCGCGTCCTCTTCTCGGCTCTGGGGACCATGCGGAAGGCCAACGGCCTGAAGTGTAAAACCCTCCTTCTGACGCTTCACTAGCCAGACTGACAGAACCACAGCGCCCCTGCAAGGTGGCCTCCAGGTGCGGTGGCCTGAAAACACCAGCGGGAAGTCGGCTCTCCGGTGAAGCCTGGTCTTCCAGGCTCTGGCCCTTAACACCCACATCACCACAAACAACCACAGGGCCCTCCCTGAAGCTAACCCTTGGAACATTCTTGCAAGAGGAATGAGATGCCTAATTCTTTCTTGGGTTTTAAGAGCCACCCTACATCCCTGGATCTTTTCACATTTGCTGAAAGACTGGGGAGGAGAGGCGGCTGCTGGGAAGAGGGGGAGGAGCTACAGTTCTGGGAGCACTCGGAGGGGTTCCATGTAACCCTTCCATGCTCCATTTCCCTCCCCCGGCCCCGATGGCAGGTGCTCCAGCCCAAAGCCCCAGTGCCAGACGGTGCCACCCAAAGGTTTCTGGGCCCCCAGACCCTTCAAAGGGATGGGAAGAAAGAGCTGAACGGGCCCCGGCTGGATGTTCTGTGAATCATATGCGGGTGGGGGGGGGGGGGGGGGGGGGGGGGGGGGGGTGAGGGGACCCAGCAGAGCTGGAATGAGCGTGAACCGCGCTGGCATGAAGTCTCACCATCGTCCGTGGGGTCTCGGAAGGATCCTGACCGAATCATCCCCTTGGGTCTCTCGGCCAGGGACAGGGTGCTCCCCATTTGGGAGCCGCTGTACAGCTCGAAGGCCGCCTCGTGGGTGGGGATGCTGTTGGAGCGGGTGATTCTTGGCGTGGTGGCCGCAGTGGGACTCACTGGAAGGACAGAGGGGAGGGGGACAGGAGAGGCAGGGGGAGGGCAGGAGAAGAGGCAGGGTCATCAGCTCTCTGGGTCCCTTGGGGAACGGAGCACCAGGAGCATGGGAGGCAAGTGGGGGGGGGGGGGGGGGGGAGGGGGGGGGGGGGGGGGGGGGGGTAGTGTGCAGGCAGCTGCTGGTTAGGAGTGGGGTCTCTCCCGGGGAGATCGAGCCCTAATGGAGAAGGACCCTGCTGTGGGGAATAAAGGGGGAACAGCGTTTCCTATTTTAAAAGACCTTCCCTCAGCCCTGCCTGCCCGGGAACTGTCGCTTTTGAAGGTCAGGCTGGGGGAGCCTCGCAGCTTTTCTAAAACCTTCACATCACTTGCATGTGCCAATGGAATGGGATGTTGTGGTTCCGTAGAATACAACAGGCAGCCTGGGAGGACTAAGAATTCAGACCAAGACTCAGATCTAAATGATGACAAAGAGGCAGCTAGAGAAGGAGGCCAGGCTATGGGCTCTGATGCGCTCAGCACTGCGGGAGGGACTGAGGCTCTCCCCACCAGCGGTGTCATTCTAGTCCACTGGCCGGTTCTGACGCAGCAAGAAAACACCCCTCCCTGCCCAGCGTTCCCTGGCTGGAAGGTCAGATGGGTGGAGCAGGTGACAGTGTCAGGTGAGGCGCCTAGAATCTGCTTTGACGTTGGGCTCTGCAGAATCTGGGCTGACCCTGCTCCCCTTCGCCCCTCCCCATGCTGGGGTTACAGCCTCCCTGGGTTCACACCCACAGCTCCCCTTGCCTATTCTGCCTCCACAGAGGCAGGCGGAGGTCTACTCCCTCCATAAGGACCTGTGAAGAAGATTTTACACCTGCCTTGGCCCTTTCAAACACGTAAGGTGATCACGGTTTAGCCCAGCACCTACAGCCTGCAGCATCCATGCCTTTCCTCTGGTTTGGTTCTCAGTGCAGACGGAGGACAAGCTGGCCCCGTCCCCCACCTAACGGCCCTTCAGAGAGCAGATGATCTTTCCTTACAAATCACTCCCTTCTCTAGGCAAAACGATCCTGATTCCTAGTTTTTCCTCAAATTCCCCATAGTCGTCCCATAGCCCGTCCTCGTGTTCCCTTACTGCATTCCTTCACTCAGCTGAATGAGGAGGTGGATCTAGCAAGACACAGCAAAGCACATGCCTGCCCCAGGCTCTGTCCTAAGGGGGTTCGCCCTGGGCCCATCATGGCCTGCTGCTCCCTGGGGTCAGGCCTCCACTTGAAGCTTCTTCTCCTCCCTGCCTCTGAATCAGCCTTCTCTTCCTGCCTCCCTCCTTGCCAGCCTTTCTCCTCAGGCTTTCGAAAGGCCAGGATGTGTCTTCAGGCGCGCTGCCTTCAGGATGAGGCTGGTCCCATCGTCTGCCATCAACAACGGTTCCCTCCTTCCTCTCCACCAGCGCAGCCACGTAGTGTTGCTGCCCTGGGCCTGGCGGCTCCTTTCCACCGCCGACTGCCTGCTCCCTGCGCTAGTCTGATCTCCGGGCCTCGCTTGATGGCTTTCCCGTGCCATCGCTCAGACTCTCCAATGCCACAAGCACCCTACTCCTTGTGCCTGGGGGCGACTTCTCAGTTGAGGACCTTAGAGCACTCTGCCTTCAATCTGACTTTGGATGGATAAACTGAGGCACCACGAAGCGACCCAATATAGTGGGAGTCAGAGAGGAGAAGATGGAGCCTGAAGTCCAGCTGCCTTGCCTCACACGGCAGGGTGAGCCCTGCCTCATCCCGTGCCACAGCGAGTGACCAGAAGCACTGACCTATGTTGGTAAGTTGGCCCTTTGCGCTCAAGGACATGGAGAGTGCAGGGGGGGAAGGCAGCTCTGACTGGTCGTCGGATTCAGGCAGCCCACCAATGGTATGGGAGTGTCGCCTCTCCTTGGTCTCCTCCTGGGACTGAAGCTGGTACCTGTAGGGCACAGCAGAAGGGCTCAGTCTGCGCAGCTACAAAGGGCTATCAGAGCAGAGGTCTGGCGGGGGTGGAGGTTTGGAAGGCATGACAAGGAGAAGGGGGAGCGGAAAGAACCATCTAAGGAGGGAGGGAGGAAGACACGTGCGGACTCAGCATCTTCTCTCACACCATCAAGAAAGTCCCGAAGGACCGGCAGGTATCTCTATGGGATACTCTGAGATGGGGACTGAAATGACAGGGGGCCAGGAGAGCCTCCACCCAGAAGCTCAGGACAGAGTTTTACAGCTCCATATGTGGCCTTCCCAAGGGCGGGAGTTCACCTCACTGAAGAACTCAGTGCCACAGTCCTGTGGAGGACGGGGGTGTCCTGCTCATCCCACCTGAATGGCCCCCAAGGAAGCCTATTCTCTCTCCAACTTTGAAGGAGGAAAATTACAGAGAGGACGTGCGATCAGGACTGGGCTAGCATGGGCTGGGACAGGAAGGTGGAAGAGTCCCACGGGCCGACTTGTTTCTCCTCTGTCACCAAAGAAGAACACAGGCTATAAGGCCACCTCACACATCACAGCAAGCCTGGATGGGGCGCTAGGAGGTACACGCGCAGGAACCACATGCCAGTCACTCAGCCAAAGGGGACCCTGAATTCATGACTGGGACTCAGGACAGGTCAAGTCACAGTTTTTTTTCATACAGACCAGGAGCCCCAGATATGGGGAATGGCAAACACATTGAAGAGTTGGTTACCTGAGCCCTTTCTTGGGAAGAGTGTTCCGATCCCGCTGATTACTGTGCAGGAAAAAAAAAAAGAGAGAAAAGCATGTGAGTCCATCTTAGAAACCAGAGTTTGGGACCATAGGTTCATGTGACACAACAGCTAACACAGGACATCAAACTGTGAGCCCCTCTAACTCTGTGAACAAAATAGGAAGATCGCTGTAGTCTGCCTCTGGGCTTACAACTCGAGAGATTCAACGGAAATGCTAACGTCTTCCTCTGTTGGGCATCAGGATGTGGCTGGCTATTTAAAAGATCCTATTAAGGTGTGATCTAATAGAAGCCAGTGTGGCCTCAAAAGTAAAAGCTTTGGATTACAGGTGAAACTAATTATGAAATCTTGGCTACCTCACTTAATTAGTCTGTGTACCAGTGCACCCCGTGTACAATCATCACAGTGATAGTAATAATAATAATGATGATGATGTATAAACATAGTCACTGAAAACCTACTTACCTCACGGCGCTGTTGTAAAGCAAATGAAATTACTTCACGTGTGTGAAAAAACGTTTAAAGCCACAATGTGACAATGAAATACGGGACTGTCTTAACTGATGACGAAAGGAGCCAGAGGCACAGCGAAAGACCCAGGCTCTGAGGTGTCCCTCTCCACCCACCTGTCCAACTGCCCAGTTCTGGGGCTTCCGCTCCAGGCCAGCTCTTCTGTTTCTTCCTCTGGGGGTGCAGCGGCAGGGGCAGGTGGGGTGGGACCAGGAGTACTGCTGGGGAAGGCACTGGGCAGGCTCATTGGCATCTGGAGGGACTCCATGCTCCTGTGCAGGCCTGAGAGTTTGGGGTACATGCGGGTCTCTTTGGGGACACTGAAACCACTCATCAGCTCCAGGCCCTGGGAGAAGCTGGCTGAGTTAATATTGAGAATGGGTGCTGGACTGGGGGTGAAGCAAGAAGGAAGAGGGCTCCCGCTTGCTGAACTTGTGGGATGCAGGTCTGGGACCTTGGAAGCGTGGGCATCACTCGATGATGGCAGATCCAGACTGTTGGAGTTGACCTTGTCTAGGTTGGCTAGTGAGGGTGGCTTGACAAAGCTCTTAGCTGTGGCCCTGAGGGAAGTGAAAATTAAATAAAGTATTTAGAACCACAGAGTTCCAGAAGCAAGAGGCAGATGGGACCTTAGAGTACTCCAAGTCTAATTTCCCTGTGTCTGGCTGTTCAAGCAGAGGCTTATCCCAATGCTGTCGTGAAATACGTTGGAAGGAAATCTGCTTGTGTGACTTGGGGTCCTTCAAGTCTTAGTGAGGGGGACGGCACATGCATGTGGGAGACACAGGCCGATTTACATACAAATGGATACATGTGTGTCAGCAGACAATAGTAAAACCACTAGTACAAGCACTGAAGACAGGTTAAGGGTTGATTGGGGAGAAGCAACTTGGCATACAGGGGAGTGGGGGGCTGGGAAAAAGCCGTGCAAAGGCCCAGTGGCAAACAGTGGCCAGGCCATGCCTCGCTTAGTCTCAGGAATACACGGATATGGAAAATAAAGAGCAGACAGATGAGGAAGAAGCTGCCCAGTTTGGGTACCTGAGAGGGGTTGGTGGCAGCTCTGTCAACTTGGTGGCCGGAGGGTGGCTGGCTTGGTTCTTAGGAGTACTCTCTGGGGAGCCAATGCTCTTCAGGGAGATGTTGTCCGAGTCCAAGGCCACTGCCTTGGCTTTGGCTTTCTCCTTTTCCCGATCCGTCTGATTGACAGGGGCTGGAGTGGTCCGCCCACTGGCCACCTTGGAAGGTTCCTTTAGTCTGGAAGGGGTAAGGCCTCCCTGCTTCGTGCTGAGGAGGCTGGGGTCAATGCTGCTGCTAACAGGGCGAGGTCCACCCCGGCCGCCGGTCACACTCATAGAACTGGACTTGGCTGGCCGGGGCAGGCTTCGGTACTGGATGTTGGAACGGGCGCCAGGAGCCAGGAACCCAGGCTCCGCACTGTTGGACACATCTAGGCTGGTCTTGCGTCCGTTCACGGGCTTGACAGGGATGCCTGAGGACTTCTGGATTTTGCTGAGAGTGGCTGAACCACCAGTCTGCATGACGGTGGCGGTGCCTGTGGCAGGAGGCGGCTTCTTGTAGCCAAAAGATCCAGAAGTGGAGGGGCGGGCAATGCCAGAGGGAGGCTTCTTAGCATCGCTCAGGCGGTCCCGGCCGGCGTCTGACGAGGAGCGCTGCAGCCCCGTGTTCTTCACTGCAAGTTTGCCCTTGTCGGTAGCTTTGCCTTCGGGTTTGCCTACAAGAGGGCAGGAAAGGAAGTAAGGGTAGCCGAAACTGGCCAACATCACAGCAATATCCCAGCAAATCCTTTTCTTTCCCTCCACGGGAGAAGGGAACATTGTCAATGTACTTTGGTACACAGGTGAGTGGGCACTACGTAAGCTGATGGCATTTCTGGCCAGAGGAAGGAGACCGGGCAGGAGCGGCCTCAGGGTTTTGTTGGCTGGTTTTGCTTTTTGTTATTTTCTCCTTCTACAGCAGGATATTCCATTCTGGTTCAAATGGCAGAGGCAACCACAAAGGTTATTAAGAAAGAAGTGCATCACTACTGGATATTTACCCTAAAGATACAAATGTAGTGATCTGAAGGGGCACTTGCACCTGAATGTTTATAGCAGCAATGTCCACAATAACAAAACTATGGAAAGAACCTAGATGTCCATGAACAGATGAATGGATAAAGAGAATGTGGTATATATACACAATGGAATACTATGCAGCCATCAAAAGAAAAATGAAGTCTTGCCATTTGCGACAATGTGGATGAACTAGAGGGTATTATGCTGAGTGAAGTAAGTCAATCCAAGAAAGACAATTATCGTATGATCTCCCTGATATGAGGAATTTGAAAGGCAACGGGGGAGGTTTGAGGGGTAGGGAAGGAAAAAATGAAACAAGATGGGATCGGGAGGGAGACAAAGCATAAGAGACTCTTAATCTCACAAAACAAACAGGGCTGCTGGGGGGAGGAGGGCATGGAGAGGGGGGTTAGGTTATGGACAATGGGGAGGGTATGTGCTATGGTGAGCGCTGTGAAGTGTGTAAACCTGGCAATTCACAGACCTATACCGCTGGGGCTAATAATACAGTATATGTTAATAAAAAATTAAAAAAAAAAAAGTGCATCAAACAACTGGTCAAGGAAGGAAAAAAAGGAGGGGATGCAGATAGGGTATGGTCATACCTCCTTGTAAGTAGAGACTGGAGGGAAATGTGGACAAAGGCGAGAAGCTACGCAAGGGGCCAACTTTGGGGGCAATACAATTCTGATCTATTGTTTTCTTGGGACCTCCCTGGGAGGTCAAGCAAGCACCTTGTAAAGACAAGTACACCAGCCGATGGTCTTGGCAAGTGTATGAAGGCAGGTCAAACTAGTCTCTAAACATAACATACTCCGTCCTCTACCTCTTCTGAGCTGTATGATTTTGGCTCTGCCACTTTACCCTTTTGAGTTGTTATTTCTAAAGTTGTCGAGTGGAGATAGTAATATCCATCTTCCCTAACCCACAGGATGATAGCAGACGTTTGCAGAGTGCTTTAATGGTTATGATCTGGTCTTCACAACAGTCCTGTGGGTTAAGGACCATTAAAAAGAGGAGCAACCCAAGAAACAAGGTCTTCACCCTTGTCCCTTCTTTTACTCGGGGCTCACCTGCGACTTTGAGGGCGCTCTGGGCTGTGTGAGTGATGGGGGACGTGACGGCCACTGGCGGGGTCTTGCCCTTCTTCAGGGAACCAGGGTGTCCCAGGCTCACAGGCTTTTTCAGTTCTCCAATCTTGGATGAATCATCACAGCTCTCGGGCCGCTCTCTCCGCCACTTCGAAGTCCCGGGTTCCATCTTCAGGCTACCACTGTCGTATTCCAGTTTTTTTGGGGGTCTTCTCCTCTGACTCACTAAACCAGCTCAGCCCACTTTCGGCCAGTGAGCGCTTCTCTGAGTCTGTGCGGAGCTGAGGAAAAGACGAGAAAAATCAGTGTGAGATGCTCACCCGGGGATGGAAAAAAGGAGGCAGAGGGGATGGATTCTGGTGGGTGGGTGGCCCCACTCTTTCCTGAGTGTTATGTCAACCCAGGGTTTCTACGTACATCTCTAGGGGGCCGGAGAAAAGACATCCTATGTGTCTCAGGGCTTTTTTTTTTTCTTCTCTGGTTGGAACAGCTCTTACACGCATCATTCCAAGTTGGCATGGGTGCTAAATACAGGGGCTCCTAAGACAACAGCTAATGTCTTAGGTGACCGCTTGGTAGCCTCAGGTTTTTTTGGACCAGCTCTGAAAGGACCTGGCAAAGGCACAAGGGAACCAATCCCAGGGAGCGGGTGGGTGTATGTGCAAATGCATCTGGCCCATGGTTCATCTTGAGAGGGTGGCCTAGGTGTTTGCGAACTCACGTACCACTATTGTAGAGTTCCTGCGAGAGGCAGTGGGAGTCGTTGGGAGGGAGTTGAGGGAGGAGCTGGCATTGAACTCTTCTGAGCTGAGGTTGTCTGAGGCATCGCTGAGCCCACTGCTAATGGAGCTGCTTTCATCCCAGCTGTAGGACAGGAGATAAAGGTTATCAGTTAAAACAGAAGCTAAGGCAAGGAATAAAATTATCATTTGGATGGAAGAACAGCTGTATTCCAATATACAGACTGGCCAAGAGGAGAAAGCCTGAAGGCTAGTCCCGAGTTTGCCAGTAACTTGAAATATGATTTGCAGCGTTCTTTTATAAAAGAGACCCTGCCTTTATCTGGCAAAGGAAGACATTACATCCCCTTAACAGAAAGGGATAGCATAAAGACAAAGTAATTCTTGGATCCGTCTAATCATACAATTTCCTCTCCCGATCAACGGTACCATGTCTTTGTTCATTTCTGGATATGTTCTCCAGGTACTTTCCCAAAGTTTTTCATACCTGGTAACAAGGACCAGAAAAAGATTTATCTTTTCTAGGACCCCCTGACCCCGTCATTTCTCATTGCTCCCCCACTTATACAATTCCCTGACCCTGGGATCGGGCTTCGCTTCCAAGCAGCATGTACTGCTCTGCTGATAAATGAACCACACTTTAGGAGCTGTGGCCAAGCAGAAGCCCCAAATTTGTGCTGAATGGTTTCCTTTTCCCGCCAACTGCTTGGAATATCAGATATGTGGTATCTGGGAGAGACTGGTGTTGAGCGTCTGTACCTGCAAGTCTTCCTATAAAGAACCCTTGTTCGTATACTAAGTGAAATTAATGCAGCCTCCATCACTTTGGACCTTGGACTCTACAACCTCCCTCGGCTGTTCATTTTTGTGTTTAACAACTTTTGCAGTTAGAAAGTTAATTCTTACCATCTGAGCTAAATAGCCTATTCTGCCATTAATACCAACTTCCTTTGTCCTCTCCTTATTGGCTGTTGGCAAGTTTCTTCTTCACATTATTTTCTGAGTTCAAAATCTGTCTCCTAGAACCTTTCTTCAATAGTCCTGTGTTCTACGCCTTCCACCGTTTCTATTACTTCCTGCTGGACCCAAAAATGTCCTTTAGATTTCACTCAAGTTTTAGAGCCCACAACTCAAACATGGACTTCAGGAAGACCACACTATGAGAGCTTTTGTTTGTGCCTGTTGGAATCTATTCTCTAAACCCTGGCATCTGTGTTCACAGGTTTATTTGTTGGCTTTGCGTGTGTGAAGGATTAAGAGGCTGAAGATGTTTTTTGTGAATTAGCCGGTGTCTGGAAAATTTTTCCTTTTTGATTTATTTTGAGTTTCAGATCATGGAACAAAAGTCAGACATACAAGCCATCTAACTTCTTGGCCCAGATTTCAGCTGGCCTCCCTTTAATTTATTTGCTGGGAAGAGGAAAGTGGGTGGTTTGGACATTTGGCTTGGATGCTCTGGAGTGATTAATCCCAATACATTGAGAAACAGCAAAGAAAGGATGGGGATTAGAACACACTACAGAGTGATTTCAATTTTATTACTAAGCAATACAGCCCTTACTAAAACAAGCAACCTCTTTTTCCCTTCACCCATGACATATATTAATCCCACATTTACCTTGGGCTAAGATATCACAGCCCCCATTTTGTAGAGAAAGAATACTGAGGAGGAAAGATAAATTGGCTTTACGATCCTATCAGCTCTTCTGGATCAAGATAAGATCTCTGGCAAGCAAACAAACAAACTATTCACAACATGTTCTCTTGGGTCAAAGACAGAAGAAGCCTGTAGCATTGAGCCTTCCATCTGAGATTAATTATTGGTAATGAAGGTCTTGGAATGGAGCAAAGTCTTATGAAAGGGCTCTTGCAAAAAAAAAAAAAAAAAAAGCAAGGACTGCTGCAGTCCACCAGTCTAAAGGAAACCTTTCCTTTGCCCTACATTTATGGAAAGCCTCACGGTGAAGTAAGGGAGGGGAGTGCATCTTCTCAGAAAGGGTTTCAGTCCTCCTCGCCCAAAAGACATTCCTCCCAACTCACAGACTCTTTCCATAAAGTGAGAGGGTATCAGCCTAAAATTCTTGCGCAAGATTGGCTAGAAGATTTAAAGATTTCCCAGGAAAATTCCTTTGCAGATTCTAGGCAAAAGAAAAATTCTGTTGTCCTTACCCAACGGTTAAGCTCTTCCACCGGAGATGCTCCCCAGGAAGGAGCCCATTTTCCTTTTGTAAGACAAATATTAGGAAAATAATGGATGCTATAGTTAAGACTCAAACATTACATGAAACTATAATGGGAAAAAGGAAAAATGCCCCCTTTCTGCCCTCCCACTTTTACTTTTTAAAGAAACCACTGTTAACGGTTTCTTGTGCTTCCTTCGAGAATATTCCAATGCTTCTGTGTTCCTGCTGCTTGCTCTCTGGATCTGCAGCATAGGTGACATTATGGGACCACATGTCATCACCTGGGTCCTCTTGACCAGGCTCCTCAGTTAGAACCTCAGTCTCCCTCTTTGCTGGTTTACTTTCTTGTTTTAGAGAAGTACCTCTCTTCTAGGAGGTTTCTGAAAGAAGAACCTTGGGAAGAAGCAAACTTGGTAAGATCTGACACACTATAAAATGTCTTTGCTCTGTTTTTTACATGTGAAATTTTGGCTAGCCAAAGAATTCTAAACTGAAAGTAATCTCCTCTGAGAATATAAAGGCATCGCTCCATAGTCTGGCCTCTCCTGTTGCCATTCTGATTTCTTGTCCCTAACACGTGACCTGTTTCTTTCTCTCTGGAAAGTTTTAGCATCTTCCCTGGTATTCTAAGGTATCATTAATGACATGCCTTGGTGTGGACTGATTTTTATTCTTTGAGTTAGATACCTTCCTGGGCCCTTTTCATCTAGAAGTTTTCAGGCATTATTTCTTTGATGACTTTCTCCTCTCCATTTTTCAGTTCTCTCTTCTAGAAGGTCTATTATTCAGATGATAGATTTCGAGGCTGATACTCTGTCTTCCTTATTGTCCAGCACTACCTCCATTTATTTATTTATTTATTTATTTATTTATTTATTTATTTAAGATTTTATTTATTTACTTGACAGACAGAGATCACAAGTAGGCAGAGAGGCAGGCAGAGAGAGAGAAAGGGAAGCAGGCGGAGCTCGATCCCAGGACCCTGAGATTATGACCTGAGCCGAAGGCAGAGTGTTAACCCCCTGAGCCACCCAGGCACCCCTCCATCCATTTATTTTTGAACTCCACTTTTGGGGCACTGGCCGTAATTTTTACCTTCAGTTGCCTCCATTACAATTTTCATTTCTGCTATCATATTTAAAGTTTTAAGGGTACTTTAAAAATAGTATATTGTTCTTTCCTTCAAGGATGCAATCCTAGAACCCTCAAAGATACTCATTCACTCATTTATTCGGAGGGCCAGATTTACAATCTCTTTGTACAGTTTCTGGCTCCAAGTAGCTTTTCTCTGTTTGTACTGGTGAGACTTTCGGACGACAGACCCTGCTTTCCTGTTGGGTGATCCTTGGCTGTTTGCGCAGAGTTAAGACTGGAACACCCATGACAGGTTATTCAGAAACTTTGTGTACATTGGTGGGACTTGTCAATTAAGGGTTCAGTATAGGGAGATGTGATTGGACTTATTTAAGTTTTTTCTCTTGGGGGCTTCAGATTTCCTGGAGATGAATCTTCCAAACTCGTGACTAGAGTTGCCTTTCCGGAAGTAGCAAAAGAGAGGATAGAGAGTTAAGTGTTTCTTATATAAATTTTAAACCAATCCTCCTGTTTTTAGTTTCCTCTCTTCCCTCCACTAAGGGCACCTGGTGTCACAATTGTCAAGCTTTTTTGAGGGTTCAGAGCTGCAAACAAAGTGGCTGTGCAGCTTTCCCCACCACGGGCTTAGGATTCAGCTTTAAGTTGGTTCAGTCGGTTCACATGTGCCATTCTGATTTCCGGCTTCCCCCAACTTTGTGGCTATGATCTCTTCCCCCTCCTATTCTTTTTCCTTGGGGTGTTAAGACTTAAGGAACAAAGAAACCCCTCCCCGACCCCGCCGTCTTCCCTGCACTGGGAGCAGCTCTCCTGCCACAGCCTGTCGTCCCCTGAAAATGGATGCATGTGCCAAGTTCGTCTCCATCCCCTCTTGTCAGGAGCACCTCTCTGCTGTTGAGAGGATCACTGTCTGTGGTGGTGCTAAAACCACCAGAGACACCGACAGATGAGAGCCCAACTCAGCAGCCTGGCAGCCCCTCGCCCCGACCTCACTTATTCCCACCCGCAGCTTCCTATCCAGCACCGTTCCAAGGGACATCTACACAGCAGCCAAGTTCACTGGGGCTGGGGCTGGGGCTGCCATGGTAGGGCTGGCTGGCTCTGGGGCCGGAATTGGGGCTGTGTTTGGGAGCCTCATCATGGGTTATGCCAAGAAGCCCTCGCTGAAGCAAAAGCTGTTCTACGCCATTCTGGATTCTGCCCTCTTTGAGGCCCTGCAGCTCTTTCGCCTGATGGTGTCCTTTCTCAGCCTCTTTGCCAGGGGAAGGAGCCATCTCTACCTCCCTTAGGTCTTTCTCCTGTATCTTATCTGTCTTGTATGATCTTTTTCCTGTATCTCCCCAGGCAGCCTGGGGAAAGTGGCTGGCTTTGGGTTTGACAGAGGAAAGACAAATAAATAATGTATTAAGAGAAGAAAAAAGAAAAAAGAAACCCCAAACCCTTTATAATCATTTTACTCTTGTGGTAGTTGTGAACTATATTAAACTAGTGCTGCCAGCAGGAAAACACCTCTGAATGACACTTAACCGAGAGCCTGTTCTTTCGGATTAGACGTTCTGATGGGGAGATTTTGAGTAGAGTGAGGAGAAGACACATTAACTTTGCAGTTCCGCCACCAGATCAGGAAGAGCCAGAAGGAACAATCTGGATGATGTTTTGAAGAATCAAGAGCCTGGCAGAAAAGAGGCTGGATAGATGCTGTCCCACCCAAAACATGACTGCCTAAGGGCTAATAACAGAAAGTCTCTAGAAGAATTTGCAGACTATCAGCTAACGAGCCAGACTTACTACAGGGTAACTGCCTGGTCATTCAAGTTCAGAAGGAGAAAGACAAGCAGCTTAAATATGG